CTTTGTTTTTCATAATTGTTTTTCCTGATAAGCAGATCAAAACCACCAGCTGCTCTTTAGGACCAAATAGAACTTTCTAGTGATGTAAAGTGTTAGGTCTCAGAAGATCAAAGGGTCAGTTCTATCCTGTCCTATAGGGTTGATATGATTTGACAATAACTTGGTGGCAATGACTTGGATTTATATTACAATAAGCTGATATACTCTTCAATGGAATCAATCCCACTCTTTTGTCTTTTTAGTTTTTTGCTTATTTCTAAAATTAACCTACTGGATTTCTAATTGTTAAGTTTGTATGCTTTCTTATTGTTTATATAGATTATTATTTTCTTATATTGTTTATAAAATATTGTTTAATTTCCTTAATTTTGTTTGTGATTCCCGTAGGCTACTGGAAGAATATATTTGTATATGTATGTGAATACACATGTATCTATATATCTATAGAATACATTTGTAATTCTAGATCAGATAGTTGGTCTAGGTCAGATAATATGCCCTTTTTTGTGGTCACTTGCTTGAACCATCTTATCCTGTTTCTTTATCTAACCTGATGATGATGATGATATTGTCTGTGACACATTTTTTCTTCATATTTGTTAATTGATTGGAATATCCAGGTGTGTGGGCTGGGTTTGCTACTTGGAATGGCAGTTTGGCAGCACTGGCCCCTCTGCTGTCTCCATGTCGGTAGAGTAATTGGTGGAAGTATGGGCACAAGTCTCTTCTTGCTGGTCATGAAGAGCAGCTGCAGGTGGAGTGAGCCAGAGTCGTCCACGTTCTATCTTTGACCCTCGGCATGTAGGATCAAGTGATGATGCTCTTGTTGAGTTAGGCAGTAGGCGGTAGTGTGGTACATTTGGCTGATTTGCATAGAGACAACCGCCTACTCTCATCAGAAGTGGCAGAATTTAAAAAGAAAATAAGGAGAAAAAAACTGGAAAGAAAAAAGGGAGAATGGTAAGAACGAGTAAAAATCAAGTGATAAGAGGACGAGGGAAAAAAATCACTAGAATGAAGAAAATTGGGGATAGGGAAAAATGAGCAAAAATAAAAGAAAGCAGGGGGCTCAAACCGTGCTTGCTGCAAGCTACCTTTTATATAGGCTGGGGTGGCTCATTCCTGGGAGTGGGACAAGAACCTGGTGCACCTCTAGTGGCAGCAGCTGGCATGATAAATGAGTTTTCTAAGAGCGTATCCTGCCAGTCACCCTTGCGACATGGGCCGGGGAATTCCCCTTCACTGGGGAAGCTGTGGAGTAGATGGCCATGGCTAGCAGGTGTGCTCTGAGGGCACTGGTTAAGTGTGGGGCCAGTAGGGGATTGTCCCAAGTCATCTTGTTGATTGTGGTGAGGGTAAACCACATCCCTATTCGCCATAAAAGTATGCTCAGGAAATCAGGAAAGGAAGAAAGCACTTGTATGGTCCCCCTTCACTGTCATGAACCCAGTACACCTCTGATTGGGTCCAGATAGTCAGTCAGTTCCTGCCCAGAATCTGTGGGAGTAGAAGGGTAGTGTCCCCAGAGTCCAGAGTTGCCGCTCTGCCAGTCTCCCCGTCCACTTGGGCCCACAACCAAAGTACTCTGTCCTCTCCTGTTGAGTTGTTTGTTCCCTGACACGGGCTCCCCCTTCCTCTGTCTTTGCCACTCGCCACTAGAATTATAGCCCACGTGGCTGTACTTTTCTCTTTCAGATTCAGTCTATATTCTGCTCAACTTGTTTTACTCAAGATCTGGCTACACTGCGTTTCTATCCCAATAGAGTTTCCATGAAGTCGACCAGTCTGGGTGTGTTGCCTGCTGTGTTTCTAAATGGTCAGATGCAGTATGTGGTACCACACTCATTCCTCTCCTCCACTGTTTATGGTCAGTCGGTGTCTTGTCCAGTTCGTTATTTCCTCATGTGATACCAGGCTTCTAGTATTATTATCTGATTAGGTGTTGCTAGTTGTTTTCTGGGTCTCTGTGATAGATGAGTAGAATTATTAGAAGGCTGTCTTGTCTCCACCTCTGAGAACCCTTAAACTCTCCTGATGGAAATGAAGAATTGGTACAACCTTTTTGGAAAGTTATTTGGCATGCCAGTTGAGTTGAAGATGCGTCTACGCTATGATACTTTTGCATACTCCTGGTTAATGCTTCACCACTCTACTGCTAACCAAAAAGTTGGTAATTTGACCAACCCGCAGCTCCGTAGGAGAAAGCTATAGCAATCTGCTTTGCTTCATAGCTTAGGAAATCTTATAGAGCAATTAATCTCTGTTCTATATGGTTGCTATGAATGAAATTTGATAGCATTGAGGTTTGTTTTGTTTTTTAACAATACTTCAATTACACTCTATTCATCTTACAAAAACTCTTGTAGAAACATGGTCAGAGTAGCATTCAGAGTAATCAAATACCAGAAAGACCTCAGGTCCAATAACAATGAAATGAATAATCCTCAATATATACATAAAGTCTAATACAGTAGATAATGAAAAGATAGTGCACCCTGTAAACACATAACATGAACACAGCTCACAAAAATACTGACTAAATGAAGACAAAAATGTATTTATAGCATTGTTTTACATATGTATAGCTTTATAAATGATCATTTGATTTATTGAAACATTTGTACTTATTCTTTGTTGTTATCATATGTGTAGTTTTAAAGACCTGCCGGTGCAGTGACTATGCATTGGGCTATGATACGCATGCTTGGCCTTTTGAAACCAGCAGCGGCTCGGGCTCTGTGGAGAACGACTGGGCTTTCCACTCCAGGAAACAGCTAGTCTCAGAGACCCGCCAGGGCTTATTATGAGTCAGCCCTGACTGGACGGCAGTTAATTTGGTCCTTCTTTGAGGGAGTTATAAACTTCAGAATAGTGAATATCCCTTGGAGAAGTGAGAAGTTTGGTAGTACGGCTTCTGAAATTCAAACATCTTCTATTTTTAAGAAAATCAGATACTACATGGAATACTTTAGAATAGCACATGCAGACTATCTACAGTATTCTGTGTGTATGTGGTATTTCACAATAAAATATAAAGTGTTTAAAAGAGTATTGACAAGTCAACATTTTCAAAAACTATTTATGTCTAGAACTTAATTTTTCAAGAAAGACCTATACTGTATATATTCACTTGTTTCTTCATGAGAGCTTAAGTAGGACACCGATGTCTTCACCTATCTTTCTAATGAGAAGTTCAATTAATTAATGTATGACCTGATTCATTTACTAGTAAAGTTATTTCTGATAAATAAAAAAATATGCCTGAATTCTAATAATAGTATGATATATAGGTAAAAATGTTTCATTAATAAAATGTCCACTTGGAAAACTCTTAAATCTCTACTGTGCAATGACAATAGTTGATAATGTTAGTAAATGGGATAATTTTGGGACTGTCCCTCAAATTGTGAAATAAAATGACTTCTTTATTTATTAATTTTTCTAATTCAAGCAATTTAAAATATATATGAACATACAATATCTCATATGAAATCCTTTCTGTCTATACAGAATTATAGCTGTATACTTAAGCTTAATAAGTATAGAAATCATATGAATAATATAGGATAGAAATAATGGAAGATGCATTATAAATGCTTTGATATGTACTTGAAAATTTTTGTTATATGACTATGTAAATCATCAACAATTGAAACTATATGAAATCATTTAATTAGGTCTGATAAGTCTCTATGATTAATATGGCAATGTATCACTTGTTTTTATTTTTAAATAAATTTATTAAAAAAACAAAACCACTTATTTGGCCCTCAATTCATGAACATGAATCAATAACAATAATTAGAAATATTTATTTACCAAAAGTAAAACCTGAATTTTAAAACTTTATCAAAGAAAAAAAATAAGAGACAGTTATGTTGATATAGCCCTGTGACCATATTATTTTGAAGGTCAAGCTATTCACATCACCACAGTATTCCTTATTTCATTGGGTGGGCCCAAGTTTAGATGACCTATGTTATTAACACTCCCTGAGGGACTCTAGGTTGGGTAGAAGAATATTTTCTAAAGATAATTAAATTGACTGGGTGGAACAGGAGAGAATCACGTCAATGGAACCTACTTCACGGTTATTTCTAAGCAATCCTAAAAATTATTTGAAATAACTTAGAATCAATTAGATCTGTCTACCCCTTTTATATGTTGGTAATTTATTTTTCTGAGTAAAAGACACACTAAAATCTCCACTCTTACTGGTGGGGCTGGCATTAAACCAGTTCTGATTCATAGCGACAACAGACAAAACACTTTCAGGTCCTATACCATCCTCACAATTGTTGCTATATGTCAGCCCACTGTTGTAGCCACTGTCTTTGTTCATCTCCGAGAGGCTCATACTCTTTTCACGGACACCCTACTTGGCCAAGAATGGTGTCATTCTCCAAGAAGGGTCCTTCCTGAAAATATGTCCAAAGTTCAAAGGACAAAGGTATCGCAATCTTTGCTTCCAGTGAACATCTGGCTATTATTCCTCCAAGACACTCTTCTGGCAGCCCATGAGATAGTCCGTATTCTTCTTCAACTCCAGCATTCAAAGACATCCATTTCTCTTTGGTCTTCCTTATTCATTGCCCAGCATTCACTAGCAGATGAGGACATTGTAAGAGCCATAGCTTGGGTCCAACACAATTAGTCTTTCAAAGTGGCATCTGAGCTTGTAAACACTTTAGTCAGACAACATATTCCCAGTGCAATATGTCATTTGAGTTCTTCCCTGCTGCGTCCAGAAATGTTGATTGTGGATCCCAATAAGTTGAAATCCTAGCTAATTTCAGAGTTTTCTCTATTTATTGTGATTTTGCTCCTTGTTTCAGTTATGAAGACTTTTGGTTTCTTTAATTCTCATACAATGATTAAATAAAATATGCAAGTAAATATCTGCTGCAGGTTTAGAATTCTGGTTAAAAGATTCCCTGAATTCACGTCTAGAAAATATTCTTATTCTGGCAATTAATCCTGAAATCTTCTCCTCCTGTCAGTGACTCCCAGGAACATTGAACTTGACCTGCACCTAGAAACGTATACAGATAACCTCACTAACAGTAAAGGTAAGTCCTCACCTTTCACAATGATGCATTCTGAGGGACTCTGGTGAGGTACTAGTCATACACAGGGCTGCAATCCTCAAAGTTTGAAACCATCAGAAGCTTTGCAGGAGAAAGATGGAATTTTCTACTCTTTAGACTCAGAAACTCACAGAGACAGGTCTGCCCTGCCATAGAAGGTCCCTATGAATCAGTGTTGACTGGATGGCAGTGAGTTGAGGCTTTGCATAATGGAATTCAGTTGTATTTTAAATAATAAGACAGCTAAAATTTTTAAGTGTTACTATACTCATATATGACATTGGGTTTGTTAGTTTATGTTATTAACATATGCATTTTAAGAGGAAGAAATTGAAGCATGGAAAGGTAAATCAATTGTCCAAGATTACAAAACCATTAAGTGGGAAATTCAAGTAACTTTATACAAGTTGCCTGTGAGACAGATACGAAAGTGGATAAAGTCTAAACTTAATATCATGTACTCAATTAATTTAATCCATAGTGCATTGTCAATATACTGTAGATACAACTCCAGAGCATCATCAAATAAAAAATAAAATAGTGTTCCATAGTCTTAAAAAGCAATATTGCCTATCACATCATAAATCTATCTAAATTAGGACTGCTGGTTAATTCTTTAAAAAGTACAACAAAAAAACAAAAAGCTGATGACGCTTATTATTTTTAGGAAAGATGATTTTGCTGTGGAGGTATTACTTAAAAGTGGTAAATACAAGGACAATGACATGATCTGTATTATTGATATTGTCTTTTGAGTTTCATAGGACTTCACACATGGCTGTTATTGATTTTTATTTGAACCTTTGAGATTCTGTGCACCATAGATGTTTGCATTAATTTAAACTTTGAAATATTGCATTAAATATTAACTATTACTGATATTGTTTGGCACATTTAAGCTTTCAGCTTAAAGCAAGTTCTTGTCTCACCTTATTCCCAGCCTTGGGAATGACAAATATCGACACACATTTTATTATATGTTATGTAACTTAACAAACTCTGATTTTTCTAAGGGATGTGAGCCTCATAGAATAAACCAGAGGACAATTCTTTATTTGGTACTTGGTATTCCAGTATAATAAATTAGTGAGGAGATGTGGTTCAATTGGACATTAGTGGCAAATTAGAATTCCTCTCAGGTAGATATACATAAGTTGAATACAAACACCCTATTATAATGGTCTACTAAAAACAATACATTGACTTTGTAAAAAGATGTTTCAGTGATTCCAAAGACTGATGTAATTCTCGCCATTCTTTAATGTAAAAATGTTGTCAAGCAAAATGTATCAATTTAAATGATATGTTTCAGGAACTCACTTTTAGTATTTTTTCTTTTTTCGTGTGTGAAGGTCATTTAGGTACACTTCAGGTACCTATCACCCACGTCTTAAGCATACTCATTTTGAAAGCGAATTTAAATGTCAGAAATGATCAAGTATCATTCATTCTAGTACTTTTTATAAACGTCACTGCCATAAAGCATAGTGAACTATGCAAAGAAATGATTAGTATTGCAGTTACCCTTTGACCCTTACATGTAGCTTTGGCTCTATTCCCAACATTTCTGTTTTTAAACTTTTGCACCAACAATCCTCTTCTTTATTCACAAAGCCATTTTTTTAAATGATCAATTGCATATATTTTAAAATATATCTAAAAAGAATAGGGATGTTGCTTGTCAAAAACAAATAGCTCTTAGAGAGCTGTTGGTTTGGTGCCAAGGCTGTCTGCTTTTCAACAGACTGGATTGGTTAAGGAAGAAGCAATAAACAGCCTATCAACAAGCATTTATACAGATGTTAATGCAATTAAATTTCTGTTTAGGTAACATATATGCCAAAATACAGTTTTATTTGTGAGGTATGATGCAATAACTTCTTTAAAAAACACACATAGACCATTTATGCTTTCTAATGTAAATTATATTCTCAGTGTTTCTAGCATGAGATGCATAGAATCAACCATTTATCGATGTTCCAAAAGTATTTTCTTTCTGTAAGGTTTGCTCAGCATACTTCCTGCCTTCCAAAAGCTTTCAGTAAAGAAATGGACTCCTCTCTACCCATGAAACCGAAGTAGTTTATTATATTACTGAAATAAGCCATTAAGGAAAGAGAAGATAGTAGTGGGAAAGCTTCCATATGTATTAAAAATGTAAATAATTAGCTTACTTTTGCATGCGTGTGCCCTAAATGATAATTGAACATTACTTACCCTCAGTGTAGGGTTCTATGGTATATTGAAATTTTTAGATGCTGATTTATTTGAAGCATATGGGTTTAATGAAAAAATTTACTCCACTTTTCATGACAGAAAGAACAATAGGTCCATTAATTTTAAAAAGCACAAATTATTTTAATGAACATCTTAAAGCTGAATGACTTTCCTACAATGTAAAATAGACTTGTTTAAAGAAGTTGCCTTTTATAAAAAATGTGTAATTTTAATGGTCAATTTTTACCCAAATACAATTCTGACTTTCAAAGCTGAATTTCCAGTACAAGAATTAAGTGTATCTGGGTTAGCCTTGTGTTTTCTTCAACAATCCCCAGCTTGGCTTAAATGCTAAATATATCCACATTCTTGGGCCACCAGGGAGAATATGTATCTACTTAACAATTAATCATTGATTTCACTAATATTTTTGTATCAATGTTGTGCAATTTTGTGTCTTGGAATGAGCAGACCTAACCTAATCTGAATATGGTGTTTTAAAATTAGTGAGATTATCCCAAGGAATGGGATTTCTGAACTGAGATTTAAAACAAAAAATAGTTAGCCTGGTAAAATGTACAATCCATCGGTTAGCTTGGGTAAAGGAAGTGTGGCACTTGGCAGATCAGGGCAAAAACAACTGTGTCTGCAGATGAAAACTAAGGTCTATCTGAAAGTAAAAGGTTTTGAACAATAGCCAACAGCAATGGAGACCCCTTGATCTGAGTGCAACTATGAAATAACTTTGTGCTTTAGGAAGATCACTTGCAGCATGGACATATGGATGGGAGCAAGACCAAAAGCAAAAAGGTCAACTGAAGGGCTAGTGCAGTAATGTGGAGAAGAGATGGCGGTAGTCCACACGATAATACAAGCAGCGCCAATGGGGTGGCAGTGACCTGACAGGTTCAAAATCATTTAGCAAGTGAAACACTAGAGTTGGAGGATAAAGATAGATGAGAGCTTATAATGCCATTCTTACTTCTGAGCTACACATTGGTTATAATTAGAATTACCATTTCGGGAGACTGAGAACACAGTGGATTGTAAGCATGAGTTCAACGTTTGGACGTACGTGGTTCCAGCGGCTTTGAATGCAGATGGAATAGGGGAGGGGATAGAAGAATAGTATCAGCAGGGATAGTGTGGCTCAAGAGTAAGGCAGGTCCACAAGTGACTCCCAGAGCAAGGACCTGGGACATAAAAAGGCTCAGAAGAACATAAAAGACCTTAAAAACAATTGTTGAGTGCAGAGAAGAATCGAGAGCATATAACGAAGAGAATGCAAATGAAACAGCCTTGCAAGAAAGAAGAGTGGACAACAATGTGTAATACTATGAGGGTGTCAAGTAAGTAAGAATATTGTAAAGTCATACAGATTTTGAACTGTTGATGATCTTGCTATAAAAGATTCCATTGAAGTGGTGTGGACGAATCCATATTGCAGTGGGCTGGCAATAATAATAATGATAAATAAAAATAATGTCACACACAGGCTAAACTTTGTTGGCATTTTAGGAAGTCTGATTAGGGAAGTGAAGAGAAAAGAGTAACAAGCGGGGAAGGTAGGGTCAGAAGCCATTTCCTTTTGTTGTTTAATTTTAGGTTTTTAAAATGAGAATGACTTTAGAATGTAAAGGAAAATTCTGGAACTAAGCCACTTTTGAAAGGGATGGAAACACAGGGAAAGCGGGTGGAAAGTGACCTGGATTGTGTGGAAGTGTTAGTATCCAAAGCCACTGAGGTATTGGACTAAGGAGGAGGGTAACTTCTGTAATTGTGAGAGGAAAGAGAGGTACCTTTGCATGTATTTCACCACACACAAGCCTGCTCTTAGGGTTCCCAATGGAGCCTGCAGTAAGGAAGGGGCAATGGCAATGAACGGGTGGAACCAGAAGGGCAGGAGACCTAGGAAGTAGATACGACCTAGTGTCTGTTGCCAAAGAACAAACACTTACAGGTAACTTGGAAATTCAAGATAAACAAGATATTTAATAGCATGGTGATTATAAAAATAGGGTGTGATTGTGAAGTGCAAGAAACCTTACATAATGAGAATAAGATAGAGCTAGTGATACCCAGTCCTCTGGGCCTCAAGCACCACAGATAACAGTGCCTATCTCATTGACTATCAGTAGCTAGCGCAGTGTAGATAGCATAAATCAAGAGTTCTCTTGGCAGTGGAACCTCTAAAGGAATATCGAAAGGAGCCTGAAAGGAAGCAATCAATGTCTGATTCCAAGGGCCTGCAGAGAAGAGTTTTATGACAAAGAAAATGGCCAGTATTGTTAAATTCAGCATAGAAATCAATGGTGATAAAGGAAAAATGGAGTTTTTCAGATAAGAGAGTTTAGGAATTTCACAGGAAAAATTTCATTTTGTCAAAATCAAATGATTGTAAATAAATGAAAATGGAAAGAAAAACAGTGTACTTAAAGAATTAATTACTTTTTCTTGTCGGACTAAAGAAAATATGGAGGATAGAATTTGTCCCTGAAATTGTTTTTATAACTCATGCAGTAATTGAATTTGAACACTCAAACCTGTAATTATGAAGGGGAAAATTATCTATATCTTAGAACATATTTATCAAGTAAGTACTAACAAAAGAAAGTTATCCATTTTAAAATTAGGATTGAACAAAAGGAGTTATGAATGATTATTTAAAAACAAAAAGGGAAATACTTCGAGTAATAGATAAAGTAGGAAAACAAATCAGATTCTTCACAATGTAAAACCTGTTGTCGTTGTTACTGGGCGCCACGGAGTCCATTCTCACACGTATGGACCTTCGTGACCAAGTAGAGCTGCCCCGTGGAGTTTTGTAGGATTGACGCACTCGCGGATAAAAGAAAAAATCTTCTCAAAATTGCATCAATAAGCAGCATCAAGATAGAGAGAAAATACTGGAGTTGTTAAGGCATGGCAGGAGCAATTAAAATGTCATGGCCTGTGTTGGGAAAACCTGCTGCAGAACAAGTCTTTCAAGTGTTAGAAAGCAAAGATGATACTTTGAGAATTGAGGTGCCTCTGACGCAAGCCATGGCTCTTTCATCCACCTTAAAGCGCACGCGAAAGCTGGACAATGAAGGTTGAATGCCAAAGGAGAATTGATGCCTTTGGAGTAGAGTGCTGGGGAAGAATATTGAATATACCACGGACTGCCAAAACAACAAGCATATCTGTCTGAGAAGTACAACCATTATGCTCCTTGGAAACAAGCGTGGCGAGACCTCATCTCAAAAATTTCAGATATAGTATGATGAGGGATCAGTCTCTGGAGAAGGAAGGACATCATGCTTGGGGCCAGTGAAAACGAGGAGGAGTTTCAAGAAGACGCAGTGACACAGTGGTTACAACAATGTGCTCAAAATTAGCAGTGACTGTGAGGATAGCACAAGACCAGCACTGTTTCACTCTATTGTATGTGAGGTCACTATGAGTTGGCACTGATTGATGGCACTTAGTGATAACAAGAGTCTTCATGACAGCACATCCCCAAGTCCTGTCTTCCCGCAGAGTTATTGATGGGTTAAAACCATTAACCTTTGGGGCAGCAGAGAAGCACTTAATCATTTCTCCACCAGGACTCCTGTGTGACCTATAGTTAGTAAATGATATAGTTCAGCATCTCATTATTATGGTATTTATTAATACCATAAATAGGCCATATTCTTTTCTTAAATTATGAGCAACTTTAACTATTTGATATCCAATGTTCAGCAGGGGCTCAATAAAATGAATTACCTCATACAGCATGAAGGTAAAAACTTTTAAAAACTGCTTAATAGCATTATCAAGTGCCTTAAAATATCTTTAATCCTCTATGAAAAAAATGAATTAATTAAAGATAACTAAAAATCGACCAGGTAGAAAGTTGATAGATAATAGGGCACAACTTTCACAGCTCTATGTAAGATGAGATTCCAATGACTTCTTGGCCTTTTAACAAAGATCAAGTGTAGATGAGATTTCCATTACATATGAGCATAAGTCAAAAAGTACTAATAACAGGGTTTTAGTTCATGCAAACATACATAAATTTACTCCAAACATGTTTAAACATATCTCTATATTAAGTGACTGGCTGCCAAAAAGCTCTCTCAGTAATACACTTCTCTTAGGCTCCACAATCCTTTCAAACATAATGTCCATTACAAACAGTGGCTTTCAAGGGGAGCTGCTGGGCCAGTTCCGTTCAGGGCACGGATGCCGTCTCTGAAGGTGGGGCAAATATTATTTGGAATTCCAACGGGGTATTGATGGTCTTCACAGATGATCTAGAGGGGCACAGGACGATTACATGGGCTTGTTTTGAAGCTTTATGAAAATTAAACACTGAGTTAGTCTTCCTACTTGAGATAGTATAAGTGTAATTTCTTTAGCAATGTTCAAGAAATAAGCCTAACGTTCTCCTTACTAGTGAGTGATATGAGTACGTAGTTCTGAAATGGTTTAAAAGACAATCACTTCCAGCATTTGAATTTCAGGGCTTTCAAGTACATTCATCCTATCCCCACCCCCACCCCCACCCATGCTAGTTCTGTGTCTTACACTGAGCTCATGCCAATCCACCAATCTATATCCTAGGGCTAAAATGCTTAGATGAACCTTAGATAATAAAATCTCTCTTTTTAACTCAGGACTTGTTTAGAACCTTGGCTGAGTTCTGAAGTAAAACCACTTAGTGTTTATGGGATGTTGTTATAGAATTGAGGAAAACGTTCCAAAACGAGCGCTTTAAAAGGTGATATAAGAGAAGTGACAATTGCAAGTATATGTCATTATTTTTAACACAAAAAGACCAACATTAATGTCATTTTAAACTAAATGTACAAGTGTTACAGAAGGATTCTTTATATCTTGAAAATAAGTAAGGGTCTACCCATGAGTTGATTACCAAAGTCCCTGTGTGCTCAGTATTTTCTCTCACAGTGCTCATGGGGCCTGCATCTGGTCTGATGCAGTCACGGAAGGCTAGGGTACTGCTGTGGAAGAGGCTTAGTGCTTTGTAGCTCCTAAGTATTGCAGCACCAACACTCTCTGGTGCTTAGTTTCTATATTCTTATAAAACTATTTATTAAAAATGATGTCTGGGCATAGATTCATGGTCAGCCCTTACATGTGAATAATTATTTATTCGTTATACCAGCTATGGAGGTGTTCACTTGAGCTAGGATGGGAAGGCTGTGGCTATGTCCGAAACACAAGAGGACATGAGAAGGAACAGGAATTTAATTTTTAATTTTACCAGGTAACATAGAGTTTAAAGAGACAATGCATCCTGATTTTTATCTTTCGTGAGACTTTATCCAACATCTCATGAGATTAAAATCTAAATCCCTTTAGTTAACTGCAACAATGATTTTGTAGGGGAAACACAGGTATAATGCACTCAGAATGACAAATGGTAACTTGTATTTCTAAGAATATGAAAATCAAACATTCAAAACAGGCTTTATGACTTAATTTGTTTTGAAACAGTTTAGAAATATAAGATTTCTTTGGTACTATACAGTGAAAGAATACTTTAAGTTTATCAATTGATATTTTATATATCAGTTTTTAAACTACAGGATTTGTATGAGTTTAATTGCTATGAGTCATTTTTCAAGAGTTTTTTTTTTCTGTTATACTGTAATTGACGCCCATAAGTCAAACAAGTTGCTAAAATGTGATGATGGCACCAAGCAAGAAGCAGTCTGAAGATCAAGTCAGTGGAGGAATGCTCTAAAGCAGTAGGTCTTCCCCATAACTCGGAAACACACAGCATTGACACGGCAACATCTACACACACCCATAACAGACAATAAGTTTGACTTGTGAATATAAAGATCCAGGTCTTCTTTCTCGTTATCTTATTTAATTCTTAATTTTATATGTGTTCCCTTGTATTGTTACTTCAAAGGAGCTCTGTTGGCTACCTACTGGGAGGTCAGTGTCTATTTCTGTAACAATTAAATTCTGCGGAAACTCAAAGGGAAGGTCACTCTGTCCTTTACGGTTGCTGTGAGTTGAAATTGTCCCAATGACAGTGAATGAGTGAGTGAGTAAGTGAGCATAGCGAGTGATTGTTACCAGGAAAGAGCTGTGATTGCATAATGATTCAAAGCTTGGATTCTAACAGGGACTCCTCGGTTTGAATTCATTAGCACCTCTATCAGAGCAAGTTATGGCAGTCTGTTTCCATAAAACTTGAAGCCTTTCAAATCCTATGGGACAGTTCTACTCTGTCCTACATATGTTTGCTATGAGTCAGAATTGACTCAACGGTTATGGGTTGTTACATTTTGTTCTAGGCTCATCTTCATTGCTTTACTTGCTCTCTCCACATGTGAAATAACTTATGTGGCACCAAAAATGTCGCAAACACATTGCCACTAGCCAGTTGCCACTCATAGCAACCCTATGGAACAATGTAGAACTATCCCCTATGAGTTTCTGAGGCTGAAAATATTTCCAGGAGCAGAAATCTCCCTACTGAGGAGCTCCTGGTTTTGAACACTGGAACCTGTGGTTAACAGCCCAATGTGTCATCCACTACTCCCCGATGGCTCCTTTTCTATGGTACAAAGGTAGTGCAAAAGGTACTTAGCATATCTTCTTTTGGTACTATAAGAATTTTTACACAAACAGCCCCCTGCCTTCTACTGAAGACACTGAAAAACCCTTTAAAATGATAGTTGCATTAAAATACTTTCTTTTTTAAAAATGTGTATGTTAACTTCAAGCGAAAACAAAACTTCATTTGCAAGTGGCTGGCATTACTTTTCTTACACATGGCTTGCTGTTGATGATGATGTGAGGTGACAAATGAGCTGATGCCCACTCATAGTGACCCATGTTCAACACATCGAAACATCGCCCCGTTTTGTCCTGTGCTCACATTTGTTATATTTGAGCCCCATCTCATTGTTCCATAGTTCCTAGTCTCTTTGTTCTTCTTCCTTGTCATAAAATTGTTTGCTTTGATTAAACTGTTAATTAAGCTTGGTCTCCGCAAGTAACGTAGTTCAATATTTCTTTTCTAGGTAAAGAGGAAGAAGTTCTCTGCAAAGATGCCGCTGCACATGAAAAACTGGAAAAGCGTAGAGAATTTACATACCAATGGCTGCACACACAGGTTGGGGTTCATGAAACAACTAGTTCCAGAAATACGAAATGGTGAGGTCATTTCCTTTAAATTAGATTTTTATATTGTAAACATATCTTGAAAAGTGAAACATGGGTTAATTGTGCTAAAACAAACATGACTTTATAGCCAAAGGCCAATACACCAGGTTGCCAGATTCTAAAAAGGCCTCCTGTATAGAATAGATTTAATCACTCTATATTGTTCATCCTGAAATGATCAGGAAGAAGCCTATTTCTGTAATGTTTGAAAGCAGCAGATGAATCACACAAATGATTCTCCTTTAAAAACTAAAGTGCATGGTATCCATTAACTACTCGTATTTTAAAATAGCGTATATGCTACAGGTTATATTTAATTTTATTTTTATTGACGTATAAACTGGTGATTGAACATAGAATTCAATCTGATTGTTAAGTTAATAGTCACTTAACTAATTTTTAATGTCTCAAAGTTTCTGTTTTCTTTCCTCTAAGTGAGATGATAATATTTAGATCATAGAGTTGAGCTAGTTCACAGTATTGTGGATATCAAGTGTTTATATCTCCTAGCAACAAACTCGGTGCTTTTTCCATAATCATGCTAAATTGTTGTTGTTGTTGTGTTGTTGCATTGATGTACTTTAAAGCATAATATATATGCCTAACCACAGTATCAAAATTTAAAGGAAGTGAAAACCAAGGATGACATTTTTTTTCTTTTAGATTTTCAAGACTTTCCTTTTAACTAGACATTTCCCCACCCCACTCCCCCAAAAGTATCAATAACGCTCTCTGTAAGAAGTCCTGGTGGAGCTGTTGGTTAAGCGTGACACTGCTAACTGTAGTGTGCGTCATTCAAGTTCATCTGCTGCTATGGGGGAGAATGATGAAATTTTCTGCTCCCATAAGATTGACAGTCTCAGAAACCTGAAATAGGGTCATTATGAGTTAGAATCAACTTGTTAGCAGTGAATTTATTTTGCTTTGTTTCATTTTTGTTTTTAGTGGATTAACTATGCAAACCAGTATTAAATCTAAATAGAGATAGAACATTGGAAATGTTTCTAAGCATTATGAATAATAACTACTTTACCTAAGTAACAAGCAAACCAAAATCGGTTAGCATTGAGTTGATTCAAATTCATAAGCATCCTACAGGACAGAGTAGATAGAATTGCTCCCAGGGGTTTCCAAGGCTGGACATATTTATAGAAACAGGTGACCACACCTTTCTCCCTTGGAGCGACCTCTGGATTCAAACTGCCAACCTCGTGGTGAACAACCAACCTCTTAACCTTTGTGCCGTCAACACACCTTATGAAGAAAAAAATCTCCTGTAATAATTATGGATAAAGTTTAATTAAACAGTATATCAAGCTACAAATTAAATGAAACCTATATCATTATATATGAAGGGATACTTTCAAACATCTAGTTCCTTTAAATTAAACTGGATGATCATGTCATATGTTGTTGTGAGCAAAGAGAGTAGAAATATGTAAACCTTTGGAATGTCCTAATTTATACACAATTTCTTTTATCTTGATACTAATCCATTTAGCTTAATCTGTAGCATAGCATACTTAGAACTATTTACAAATATAATAAAATCACAATCTATCATCTGACTTACGTAGATATTCTAAAGTTTAAGTATAGATAGTTTGAAAATTATGAGTAAGACATTTCTGAATGAATTTTAGATATATTTAAATATTTTTAAATCTCAATCTTAAATAAATTATTTTTCAACATATGGTGCAACAGTAATTTTTAACAGATTCTCTCTTTTTGAAACATAGTTTATAAAGGACTAGGTAGTAATGATCCATATGTATAATTTCCTTTTCTGAACAGTATTTTAAATTCTATACTATTGGATAAATTAATAATACTATTAATAAAATTACTATGGACCCTATTGGAATTATGTATAACATTCCCCAATGAAATGATAATTCTGTCTCTAAAGTCGACCAGATAATATATATTCTATAGTTATATGAATGGACTTTGAGCTTGCAGGTAATCATAAACCCTAATCTAAAAACAGTGAGCTCTTCTGATGTGGCCCTCCTGAAGATCACCAGTGATCTAGATGCTTTAGCTAACTGTAGTGATGAAGTCGGACAGTGCCTGATGAGCAGAAATAATACTATCTTGGGTCTTAAATGCTTATCTACACTTAGTGAGATGTCAGTTAGGTCTACACAAAAGGAACCCACATTTCAGAGTGATCAAATAATTATTAAAAGTAAAATCCAAGTGTATTAGTCTAGGTACTTTGGAGAAACAAATCCACAGCAACTCACGTTTAAGAGAGAGTTTTATGCAAAGAAAACATGCATCGCGAAAACATCCCAACCCAATGCTGCCCAAGCCCACAAGTCCAACATTAACTCATACCCAACACCAGTCCACAAAGTCCTTCACCTCACAAAACAGAGGCAATAATGCCGACTGCAGGAGGAAAGCTGAGTCAGTGAACATGTAAGCATCTCAGCACTGGCAGGGGTCTCCACATGGCTGCTCCAGCATCTAGGGCTGCATCGGGATAGATCCATGCGGCTTCTCCTTGGGGATGTCTTGTAGGAAATCCATCTTGTAAGCTGAAGCAGGGAACTGCTAAGGCAGCTGCACCCGATGCAACCATCACAAAACAAGAGACCCGAGAACTAGAAAGGCGAGGCTTCACCACCCATTTATCCCTCCGCCTTTCAACCAGCCCCACATGTGATTATCGGCCAGGCTGGCACAATTAACTAACTCAAATAATTATTAAAAGTAAAATCCAAGATTCAAGGGGAAATCTGTATCAGAGTTCAAATCCTGAGCACCAGGTTGGCAGAAGGCTGTGGATGACAGTGAAAGGCCAAAATCCGTATGTGGGGACCTGACATGTACCAGGTCTCCCCTGACTGCCCGTGGCTGACTGAACAAGGGTCAAAATTCAACATCCTACCTTTTGTCCTTTTAACTCATTTTCAATTTGTTCTAGCTTTTATTACCTTCTGCTATCTTTTGGATTGAGATTTTTCTGTGTTTTATTCTGTTGTAGTTGCTAGTTTTTTTTTGCTTAATTAATAGTGTTTTAGAATTAGGATAGACGGTTAGAAAAAAACAAAGGAACTAATAATAATGGAGACAAGAATGTAGAAAATGTTCTCAAATTGATTGAGGTGATGAATGTACAACTTTTAAAATATATTTAAACATTTAATTGTAAGATACATGAAATATATGTCAACATGCCTGTATAAAAATAAGTAGGTAAATAAGAGAATAAGTAATAATATTTTCAGGGAAATGGGTTCTGAAGAACAAATAATTCTTGGAAAGTCAACTATCAACATTTTGGTGTTATACAGAATTTAGTTGTCGATTCTGTGAAAAAAATTCACATCAAGTTGATTCTGACTTACAAGTACCCTATAAGACAAGATAGAATTTCTCCCTGTAGGTTTCTGAGACAGTAACTCTTTTTGAGAGTAGAAAGCCTCATATTTCTCCCACAGAACAGCTGGTGGTTTTGAGCTACTGACCTTTTGGTTAGAAGCTGATAGTGTAATTAAAACGCCACCAGTTTTCTTTAGTTGTGAATATTAGCATACATTAAATAAGTACTATTTTAAAAATAGGAAGCTTCACATTTCTCAGAATACAAGTCATGATATAAATGCAAATAAATATTTAATATCTGATTGTTCTATAATTTATAAACTATCACTATTGACACACTCAGATTTTTTCCCTTTGTATCTGTTTATGTTTGGCAAATAAGAGTGGTATTAAAGTTGTATTTATAGTGACATTTTATGTCAATTTTGTTGTATTTATCTTCACATGGAATTTAATTCAAGAAAATTATTATTTCCAGTATGTAAATGATTTTTCTAAAACATCTCAGTTGTGATTTTTTTTCTTGTCTTCTACATTTATATTGTAATGTTTTCTTTTTTTGTCACTGTGCAGCAACCATTTCTTGCCTGAGTTAGATCCAGATGTACTTAATGGTGGAAGAGTTCAGCTTGTGGTAAGAAATGTGTTTAAAGTTACCAAATAATTCTGTAGACACTGGTGCTATATCAATGTCCCTCTATTTTAAAAGATGTTCAAAATTAGTTTCAACTATGAAACTATTACAATTGAATCTTCAAGGGGTACCTCAGAATTTCTTGTATTAAATTAACATATTTCTTTAAAGTTTATTCTAACTTTAATACAACATATTTAAAAAATTAATTCATATGTGTAGCTAGATAATTAGCATGCTATCATATTTAAATAAAAGTAAATAACTCTGGATGGAAAATTACTAATGAAATTAACTTCTTGAATATTTTAAGAGAATAAAATCTGTATGCTCCCACTGAGGTAAACAGCACAATAGCCTTACAAATCAGGATCTCAAACAAGATAAAAATTAGCAAGTGTAAAGGCCACCAATTTAAGTGATAAACTCTAAATTCTTGGAGTATCACAGACAAGTTCTAAATTTATTGACCAGAGTGTATCTACCAAGCAGTGTAACTTTATGTGCTTTTCTAAAATCACTTCTAGAAGGAAGAATATGTTCATGGAAGAATAAAGGGCAATGTGGATCTAAGAAAAATACAGTTCACAAAATAAGGTTTCAGTGTATCTTCAGAAAAGTCCAGGGAAGAAGATACCTTGTGCTGTCGCACAGTGGGTAGCCTTGGGGATGGGTAAAAGGGGTGCATCAGAGAACCATCTTATAGGGCAGAGTAGAGCTCCTCTACATAGGGTTTCTAATGCTTTGCATCTTTAATGAAGCAGACTGTCTTATTTTTCTCTCACAAACCAATTGGTAGTTTTGAATTGCCAACCTTTTAGCCACCAATCAAAAAATAACCTTTACTTAGAT